AGGGCCATATCCATTCATCTTTCTAGCTTCCTGCACACTCAGGCTCTGTCCATTCATATTTCTAGTTGTTGGCATGCTCAGTGTAAGCCAATGGGGGAGACTCCCTCCTGCTACACTGTCTAGAGTAACACATGTGTGAAGTGTTTGCTGTTTGTTTTCATTCTGTTTTCAATTACTCCTTTATTTTCTGGATGAAATCTTGAGCAGTTCTCAGCTAAGGACAGTATTTACTACCAAAGAGTGTTTGTCAAGGTGTGAGGGCAGTTGTCTTCAAGAGCGGGGCATTCTATTGACATTAGAGGCCCAATGCACAAAATTTATGGAACTGGAGAGTTTTGAGCACAAGAATAAATTATCTGATTTTTTAAAAATTCACTAGTTAGGGTAGTAAGAAAGCAAAACTGAGAACCAGGATGCCATAGTACTTGGGAAACAAGAACAGTAATAAAGCACACAAAAGAATATATAACAAGGCCTTCGTTAAATTGCCTACTTGGGGTGGGTGCTGGTTATTTTATCCTATCTAATAAAAGAGTAATATGCAAAGTAACCACCACTCTGCTATACCCACAAGCCATGCCCACCAGACAATCAGAGAGAGTATGCAAATTAATCCAAATCAAGATGGCTGCAGCCACAGAGAGCAGGAGGGAGGCTTGGGCTTCCCTGGCAATGGAGGAAGCCAAGCTTTTCGCACACCATGGCAGGCCAAGGCCTCCACTCAAGGGTACAAAGTTTCAATTATAGAAGGTAAATAAATTCCAACAGAAATGGCAGCAGCCATTGAGCTGGAAGAGCAGGAGGCTAGGGTTGCCACAGGTGATGGAGGAAGCCAAGCTTCTGCAGCCCTGGCCAGCTCAGGCCTTCACTCCAGTCTACAAAGTTTCAATTGTAGAAGATACATAAATTCCAACAGAAATGGTTGCCTCCACAGAGCAAGCACGAGGCTACAAAGCATGAGCCTGGCTCCGCTCCAGGCTACAAAGTCTCAAAGAAGATAAATAAATTCCAGATTTCAGGGCCTCCACTTGGGTCGCTGGAGGGTGTGGCTGGCCTACAAACCACCACAGGACCCTCACCGAGGCAGCCCCATACCCCAAGAGAACCCCGATCCTGATCTGGGACAAACTTCAGGGCAAACCAACTGACCCCCACCCATGCACCAGGCCTCTATCCTATCTAATAAAAGAATAATATGCAGATTGACCATCACTCCAGCACACAAGATAGCTTCCCCCATGTGGTCAAAAATCCTGCCCCCTTGTGGACACAAGATAGCCACCACAAGATGGCCAGCAGGAGAGGGCAGTTGGGAGGGATCAGGCCTGTAAGGGAGGGCAGTTGGGAGTGATCAACCCTGCAGGGGAGGACAGTTAGGGGTAACCAGGCCAGCAGAGGAGGGAAGTTGGGAGAAAACAGGCTGGCAGGGGAGCAGATAGACATCAATCAGGCTGGCATGGGAGTGGTTAGGGGGTAATCAGGCTGGCAGGCAGGCGAGCAGTTGGGAGCGAGCAGTCCTGGATTGTGAGAGGGATGTCTAACTGTCCATTTAGGGCAGTTAACTGCCCTTCCCTGCAGGGTTGATCGCCCCCAACTGCTCTCCCTTGCAGGCCTGGTCTCTCCTAACTGCCCTCCCCTTCTGGCCATCTTGTGGCGGCCATCTGTGGTGGCCATCTTGTGTCCGCATGGGGGCAGAATCTTTGACCACATGGGGGAAGCTATCTTGTGTGCTGGAGTGATGGTCAATCTGTATATTATTATTTTATTAGATAGGATAGAGGCCTGGTGCATGGGTGGGGGCCAGCTGGTTTGCCCTGAAGTTTGTCCCAGATCAGGATCGGGGTTCCCTTAGGGCATGGGGCTGCCTCAGTGAGAGGCCCGTGGTGGTTTGCAGGCCAGCCACACCCTCAGGCAACCCAAATGGGGGCCCTGATATCTGGAATTTATTTATCTTCTTTAGCTGAAACTTTATAGCCTGGAGCCTCATGCCCACTCAGTGGCAGCAGCCATTTTTGTTGGAATTTATGTATATTATACATATTGGGCAGTCAGACATCCCTCAAGGGGTCCCAGATTGGAAAGGGTGCCGGCTGGGCTGAGGAACACCCTCCCTCCTCGCCCTGGCCACCTCCCCCGCGCCATGCACAAATTTCGTGAACTGGGCCTCTATTTTTAAAATAATCCCTGTGCAAACTTCTGCCACTCTTTTTTCAGATGGGGCCAGGTTATGAATTGATCTCTTAATAATGTTGGGGGGGGGGGGGGACACGGACATTTTACCAGTTACAGACTTTATGAACTTAAAACCAGATCATTATCTTCAGTATTAACCCATCTAGAAACAATCCTGTAATGACACTAATTTTAAAATAGTCTCTGCTGACTGAAATAAACATAGGGGGGGGGGGGGGGAATAAATCCCCAAAATGATCAAGCTAGAATATAAGAGAATCTTTTGGAAGCCATAGAAAATAGCTCCTATTTCAAATACACTTGATTAAAAATGTACAAATCTAAAAGTAGATAAAGCAAATGAGGTATAAAGACAGAACTTGTTAAAATAATCAAGTTTTGAGAAGCAATGCAGACAAGGAAGGGACAGAGGTCTCGAGGTCTGGGCAGTTCTTGCTAAATGCTATTCTTAGATGCAACTGTAAGCAGGATAAGCTTGACAGGAACTCAGCCCATCAATGTAGCCAACTGCAAAGGAGAAATCAGCATGTAATTGACCACAGAGCGTATATAAGCAATGGCTAAGCCTCCTTTCTGGGAGACAGAGATCTGGGTGTGAATCCCTTCCTTCTCCGTTACCTGTTGCAATTAAAAAAACAAACAAACAAAAAATAAAAAACTAACAAACCAAAACAACGGCTTTGCATTAACCATGTCTGGTTCTTGTCTAGAGCACCCCAAACAGCGAACCCCTTGAGTTTGGTAGCAACATTATTGTGTAGCTAACCTCAGACTTTCAATGTGCGAGAGTCCGTGGTTTGGCACTTCTTTCTCTCATAAAATCTTGTAGGCACACTTATCATTAATAAATAATAAGTAATTGTTTATTATTAATTTATTAATAATAATTCATTATTATTGGCCCACCCTTATGAGCCAGCCCTTTCTGAAGTGTGTGGAGGTAGGAATATGGTACAAGATGTGCACCTAGTGTCTATGGGCATTGTGCTGAGGGTGCTGCTGCCCTGAGCGCTGGTTTTCAGAGGGTCCGGTGACTGCCTTCCCTCCTAACCCACAGCTTGGGTAACTTACACTCTGAGGGTGTCACATGGATGGGGCATCAGTAAATTAGTTAGGAAGACTGGGTGACTGAGAGGTACCGTAAGGCCTCCACGCAGCAAGGGTCATCACTTACATATATAAATAGCTCATTCTTAGGATTTCAACCTGGTGAAAGCCGCCAGTTTAAAAGTAGAGGAAACAGATGAAGTCCCCGTGCAACTGCTGTTGCCTTCACTGCAGTGGGCAGGCGGAAACAACCATTGCCGTCCTGTTCCGTCCCTACTTTTTTTTTTTTTTTTAATATATTTTATTGATATTTTTACAGAGAGGAAGAGAGAAAGGGATAGAGAGCTAGAAATGATGAGAGAGACACATCGATCAGCTGCCTCCTGCACACCCCCTATTGGGGATGTGCCTGCAACCAAGGTACATGCCCTTGACCGGAATCGAACCTGGGACCTTTCAGTCCGCAGGCCGCACTCTATCCACTGAGCCAAACCGGTTTCGGCCCGTTCCTACTTTTAAGCAGCTTCCGTGCAAACACACCAGGTCACGTAACCGGTAAGCACTGGGGCGGGTGGGGGGGGGGGGGGGTAAACCCCGGGAAACTCACTCCCTCCCTCCCAGCGGAGCGTGGCCGCCCCCTCTCCATAGCCAGGGGGCGGGCGCCTGGTGCATCCTGGGAGTCGCGGCCGCGGGGATTGTGGGAAATGTAGTTCGGCCGCGCCGCCTGCCGCGCCTTCCTGTTCATGGCTGCTTCCTGGAAGGTAACGTGAGCATTCTCTCCAAAGGATCCTTGCATTTCCCCACCGTGTTAGTAAAACGGGGCACAGCTACACCCTGCCGGGCCAAGGCAGGGCTTCTTAAAAAAAAAAAAAAAAAAAAGGAATGTTCATTCCTGGAACGCGTTTGTCTGTCGCTTCGATTTAGTTTTAGTTTTTCCTGAATGGGCGAACTAACCAACCTTAAGTCCAACTAACTAACCTTAATTTTACATTCTACCCGCGCTTGCACGAACTATTCTCTCTGGTTTGTTCATTCTCTCTACGCATTCCTCCCCCTTCCGTACAGCCGCCCTGCTCTGCAATGACTGTAGCTGCCCCCTTAAAGTAACCATTAATAATAATTAATAATAATAATAATAAAGAGTAATAATAATTTAAAATTTTCCCCATCTTCTGATAGTAGGCGCTGTCACGTGGAACCCCTTAGCCTCCGCATTCCGAACTCCAGGAAGAGAGTATTTCAAGTCAGAGAGAGCCACACCTACATCGTTTCTCTGGTAAGTCTTATTCCCTTATAGCAGGGTTTTATGTTGTGTGACTTGTTCCAGATTTGTCTGCGTTTCCTGGATGGGAGAACCCATTTGAAAATGTAATTTTTACTACCTAGGATATTTTACATTTCCAAGGGAGTGTTTTGTGCATGTGCAGTTTGCTTTAATTGTGTTCTTAATTGGTTGATTCACACTGCGTTGGCATGCTTATTATGGAGAAGCGCTGGAGTTGGTTATCAGAAGGGAGATGAGCCTCAAGAGATCATCTTTAAGGACCTTTCACTTCCCTTTGTTTTTTGTTTTTTGGGTTTGTTTTTTTTTTAATGGAAGAATGAGAATGTGTGTCTGAAATTTAAACTTAAAATGCTATGTTTGTCATTCATACTGTCATTTAAAAGGGTAGGGATTTTAATGGTTTCTTTTTGTTTCCATGTTTAATTTCTAGAAACCTTCTGCACCCAAGAGCCAGCCATCTCAAGGTCCCACCACCATGGCCTCAGCCCCAGCACAGCTGTTCCTCGCCCTCCTCTCACTGCTGTTGGAGCTGCCTGCTGTGGAAGCAGTAGAAGCTGGAGATGCAATCGCCCTCTTCTTAGGTGTGGTGGTCTGCATCACAGGCATCTGTGCGTGTCTGGGGGTGTATGCACGGAAGAGAAATGGAGAGGTGTGACTTCGAAGGGCTGCCGGAGTCAAGCCTTGCCCTGAAAACATTGGAGCTGCTCAAGTTAAAAACTGAGCTTTGGTGTCCGAAAGTTCCCAAGAAACAAACAGTACATAGGGTAATTTTACATTCTTAGGTTTCCCTATAAATGGGGATAAATTGGTAGATGTTAAATGGAAAAAAAATCTTTTTTCACAACAAATAATGCTATGAAACATGCATTCTCTAGTTGCTAGTTAGAAAGATGGTCAAAGAAGTAAGATGGCTGAAATTTGAATAAGTAATATTTAGTAATCTCAAAAATTCTCAAAGCACATGAAATTGGAAGAAGGAAACTCCTGCCCAGAATCCTAGGAAGTAGCCACTATTCTGTTGTAATTACTGCCTCCTGCATTACTGAGGAGTCTTTTCTCTATGTTTTTTTTTATATTTTTGTTTTGTTATCTCCAAGTTAATATTGTACTTAGATATTTGATATTAAATATAGTCGGTCAAACTTGAAATTTTTATTTCTTTGGGGGGAAAGTAGTTAAAAACTGTATTAGTGTATCTAACCTTGAAATGGAGAAAAGATTTAATGTAAAAAAAAAAATACTTTGTATTGACATTAAAACAGGGAAGAGATTTAATGTAAAAAAATAAAAGCCTTTATATTAAATGGCTAACAAAGTCCTGGTGAGAAATAGTACCCTAATCATAAAGATGTAATATGCAAATGGTCACTACATAACGACCCACTGTTAAGGACCAGACCACTGGAAGAGCTACAGGAGTGAGCGGGGCAGCAAGCTATGAGGGGCTCAGGAGGGAGCTACAGGAGGGTGGGGCAGCAGGTGGAGAGCTGGAGGGTGGCAGGGAGCCACTGGTGCACAGATTCCTGTGCAGGGCTACTAGTATTAAATATAAACCCATTATAAGTTAACGTACAGTGTGTGTTGTTTTTTTTTAAATATACTTCTGTTGATTTCAGAGAGGAAGGGAGAGGGAGAGAGCAACATCAATGATTAGAGAATCATTAATTGGCTGCCTCCTGCATACCCACACCAGGAATCAAGCCTGCAACCTGAATTGAACAACCTTGGTTCATAGGTTGGTGCTGGCTGGGCATGGTGTCTGTTTTTGTTTATAGAGATACAATCAGTGAAAAACTAGAAATGCGCATAATCGAGCTAGAAGAGGTTGTTGGTAGAGAACCCACAGATACAGAAGGAAACTATACTGGCTTATACTGATTTACACACCAGCTCAATGATCTTGCTACTTCCCCAAACCATCATTATTACCTGGGGACTTGTTAGAAATACAGAACCTCAGGCCTCCTCCAGACCAGTTGGATCAGAATCTAACTTGTGTGCACATTTACATTTTAAGAAGATGGATCCAACCTGTTTGAGTCCACAAATTGCCCATTGCACTTGACAAAACTACATTCCCAGGTCTCTCGCGGTTGTGTCGGAGTCGTTGTAGGCTGAAGCCTGGAATTCTATGTTTAACAAGTGCACGCAGTGATGCCTTTGACTGTAGCTGCACCAGTATAGAATAGTCTGAGTAAATCAAACTGCTTTCCTTCTTCCTGGAAGCAGGTAGTCAAGTTTGTCCTAAAATAATGCATTATCTAATCTCAACTCTCCAGTTAATAGTGGAAGCCCTAATTTTGGTCAGAAAACCAGCAGCAACATTAAGATTCTGTTTACAGGGCATTTCTGCAGGTGTTAGCTGACCTGGCTAATGAGGGGTTTGGTGGCGGGTACCAGGAGTGAGGGACAGATACACTACAAAGACATAAAAACAGAATGTTTCTGTTTTTACCGTAGCTGTTTTTTGTTTTGTCAACAGAGAAAGCACTAATATGTTTTGTTCAAATAAATTGGCAGGTACGTATCATGTAATTATAAAATTTGATTTTATGTGCCTTTTTTTTTTTTTAATAGAAAAAGGAGTGCAGCCTGTGGGACAGTCTGTCCCGTCTCATAAACTAGTCCATGGGTTCGAATGTAGGCAGAGAGGCTGCTGTGGCTTGTATGTCTGAACTTTTCAGTTGGCATTGGGAGGAATCAAACCGGAAGTACATTTTAATTCACTGCATTAGTCATTTAGTCATCTCTTCATACTGGTATTTACATGTTCAAAATAGGACTACAGGCAAACATGCTTCAATGGCATGTATTTCCAGAAGTGCCCCGAAAGAATTAGAAAACTGCTGTTTTCCTATTTTACCCTTAAAAGTAGAGAATTGTCCTGAGGAGGCGTTCAGGAATTTCGATGGCTGTGATGGGGAATGCCTTCTCTACTTTTAGTCTCTTTTCTCATCTATGGTGGGTTATATGGTTTTGCTGAGAAGAACAGAAACGTTTACAGTGGCTCTTAACCTTTATGGGGCCACCAGCTCCTTTGAGAATCTGACAAAACGTATGCTCATTTTCGGGGGTGAGGGGGAGTCACATATATGCTGGCATTTTTAAATTAATTTTAAGGAGTTCACAGAGCTGAAGCCGACCCCAAAATCCCCAATTGCAAATTTCTGCTCTTGTATTCCCTCCTTTGAGGTTTTTCCAATCCTGGAATTTCTCGATTTGCTGGATAACACCTGCTGCTGGAGCGATGTTAGGAAAAATGGGATTCACAAATGTCCCCCAACAACACAATTTGTAGATGTCTAGTAAATGCTTTGTATATGTTAACTCAAGTGGACCCAGTTCAAAAGGCAGAAGACTAATACTAGAAATCAATAAGAAGTGTTGATAAACAACCTATTCTAATGCTAAAAATCAGTGCATCATTTCTCTGTCTGCTTTTAATTTTTCACCATCCTTAATTTTCAGAAGGTCGACTGTGATGTGTCTTATTTTGGTGTTTATCCTGTTTGGGGTTCATTCTAGTTCTTGAACCTACAGGTTTATGTCTTTTCCCAAATTTAGGTAATTTTCAGCCATTATTTTTTCAAAAAATTTTTTTCAGCACCATTCATTTCTCCTTTTCTTCTGGGACTCCAGTGACCCAGAAGAAATCTTTTGTTACAGTTCCACTCCTCTCTGGGGCTCAATATTAATTGATTGGTTGATTGATTGATCAAAATATTGATTGATTAGGTAATTTCTAGTGTACTATCCTCAAGTTCACTGATTCTGCTGTTGTATTTTCAGTTCTAAGTTCTCCACTTGGCTTTTCTTTGTACATTGTGGTAGGAGTGGATGTCCGGACTCCCATGGCTATGTCTGAGCCCATTGACATTTCTGGGTCACCAGCTTTTTCAGGACCTAATCAGAGATTTATGAGGCAAAATGAAAACCCAGAGAATTCATCACCATGTCTTTTCTGGTCTGGAGGTCCTAGACCTTCTGCCTTCTTTTCACCTTTAAGGATCTTTTTATATTTGTTTTATACATAATGTCAGGATTTTTAGCTGTATTTGGTAGGGAAAATAGGAAAAGAGGATGTCTATTCTATCTTCCTGGAAGCACAAGTCTGAGTGCATGTTTAAAGAGTGAAATCTTTGGAGAGAAGAAACATCAGGTAAATGATAAATTCACAGTATTTCACTCACAGACCTTTGTCCTGTGGTCTCTCACATCTACCCGCCCCCCCCCCCCCCCCCTTCACGCATCCAGTATATTATTTATTTCTGTATTTACCCAGTAAACTCAACGAGGGGGTATGACTAACAAGAATTCAGGAGTACAGATGAAATTTTAAAAGATGGGCTGTATTCATATTTTGTCTCAATAGAGTGCAAGTGGCAGCAAACGAATGTGATACCAAATGTACTAACAAAGGAGCCAGCCACATCCAGGAAATCTCAGAAGTTACTATCACCTGCACCTTGGCCCTTTTAGGCTTTCTAAGCTCCACAGAGCCTTGTCAAATGCCGTTTCCAGCTTTGGCTGTGGGAAAGGTGATGCCCATCCAAAGACCTACATAGCCTGCAGCTATTTAGCCTGCAGCACATGATGAAGGGAGAATTACCTGCATAGGAACCATCTCTCTCCCATTGATTCCCATCAGTCTCTTTGGTGACACTAGAGAGTAAAACTCCTGTTGTTTGGGGGAGCCAAGTTCTTGGGGCACCCCTGAAAGAAGCATTTTGAGAAGCCCCCTGGGAAGATGGGATATGGAAGAAAGCTTTATTGGCATGAGTTCCATTTCTCAGGTCGCAATGTCTCATTTCCCCCAATGTTGGACTTCCTGTTCCATGTTGCGGCTGGTGGCTTAGCATTCAGGCCACTTTAAAGTTCATGTGTGGAGCTCAAAATGGCCATGTACCATGTGGGCACAGTGGAGCACAGTCACAGGAGGGCCCTTCACCTTGGAGTCAAAAGAGAGGGAACTTCCTTTGTCTAGAAGTTTATATATTTAGACTAGAGGCCCAATGCGTGAAATTCATGCACCGGGCGGGAGGACCTCAGCCTGATTCCTGGATTGGGCCTAAAACAGCAGTCAAACATCCCTCTCACAATCATGGACCACTGGCTCCTAATCATTTACCTGCCAGCCTGCCTGGTCACCCCTCACTGCCCCCTCCCTAGCAGCCTGGTTGCCCCCCCCCAAGTCAACCTAGTTGCCCCCAAGTGCACCCTTACCCCGCTGGCCTGATTGCCCCTAACTGCCCATCCCTGCCAGCCTGGTCACCTCTTACTGCCACCCCCCCCCCTGCTGGCCTGGTGGACCCCAACTGCCCCCTGCCAGCCTGGTCAACCCATGCAGCCTGCTGTTCAGTCATTTGGTCATCCCTCACTAATCCTCCTGCCAGCCTGGTTGTAGGTAGTCATATTGTGAGGGCATGATGCTCAATTTGCATATTACCTCTTTATTATATAGGTCTATATAAGATTTTTGAGAGCATGCCATGGCTAAGCACATCCTGGCCAATTACCTGCTTCCAGGTGTGGTTAATGGGCAAGTATCTTCCCATGTCATTCAGACCTTACTAGGCATGCCTCCAAATTCCCTTTGTCTGGTCTCTTTCCCCCTTCAATGAGCTGAGAACAAACTTGGAGTGATAAATGCAGCTT